TCTAAATTTAATAATCGAATTTATCAAATTAAATGGATTACAAAAAACTTAGAATCACATAACAGCGGATGGTACTACTTCGACATTCACTTCAATCAAATGAGATACCTCAACCTACAACCTCTCCCTTACCAGAAACGGAACCATGACACTATTTTTGACAATATCTGAATGACGAAGAGCAGACATGAATCTTTATAAAAAATACACTTAATGAAATAATATAACATGAACCTGTGATTTTTTAGACGATTTATATGCTTATTCAAATATGTAAATATCAAAATATGCTAATACTGACTCATTTATTTACTAATTAATCCTCATTTATAATGCTACTCATCACAGGATAACACAACACGCGTTGCTAAGCATATAACACACTACTGTATTTATTAACAATCAGTGTTTTACGCATACACATTACATTTCTTCCCCTGCCAACATCTCCTATATAAGTATCTTGTATAAGCATCCATATGTAATTATTAACTATTATTTACATTTGTACTCATACCAAAATACCACTACTTTGGCACTCACAAAACAAATGACAGCCACATACCAATAATTGCCATACCATTAATATATAGTACAGAAACAGTAAAATACATGCAATACAAAAATGATACACGCTATTACTTACCTTTAGGACAACGAACGAAAATTCACTCCATCAAATGAGAGAAGAGCAATTGGTCCATTCAGCATGAGAACCCTTTTTCCACCAGGCGAAAACTTCAGACATGACAGTGACTTTAAACGATGGGTGGACAGCGAAAAGGTAAGAATGCTAACAGCACTGACTGACAAAATGATAACAAACATATCCGATCACGCACTGACAAATGAAGAAAAGGAAGCACTTGGAAAAGGACTGAAATTTATACCCAACTCGCAGAACGTAGAAAGAGAAGTATACAAGGCTAGTGTGGAGAAATTCAAAAGAAAACTACAACTAAAGATGTTCTTCAAGGATAGAAAGGAGCAGAAGAGATCCGTATTCTACAAGAAATCCAGCTGGGTACCTCCAGAAACAGAGAATGAAAACATACTAGAATATTTTGGTAAGATAGACAGAGATCTAGAAGAGATGTGGAACAGAGAGATACCGAGAAAAAGAAACAATTTGAAACCAGAGGTATGGCCGGCACTGAAAAGCCTACAAAACAACTAAGACATTGTTATCTAAAAAACTGACAAGGGGGGAGGTCTCTGCATCATGAACAAAACAACATACAAAGAGAAAGTGAGTGAACTACTAATGGACAGAACAGTATACAGAGAGCTCCAGACTGACCAAACGAATAAGATTGTGAGAGGAATTACTGACATGTCAAACTACATGCTTAAACTTCACAAAATTAACGAACAGACTGCAGAGTTCCTCCTTCCCCACAAACCATGCAGACCACCACTATTTTAGGGACTTCCAAAAATTCATAAACCTAACATTCCACTACGACCAATAGTCAGCGCATGCAGCAGACCTACGGACAACCTATCAGAATACCTGACAAAATTCATACAACCACTGGTCAAATCACTACCAGCTTACATTAGAGACAGTATACACTTTCTCAACATGTTACAAAATATACGATTTCAATCTTCAGAATTCATCTTTGTGACAGCTAACGTGATATCACTTTACACCAACATCTCACACAGAGATGGCATAGACGCAGTAGTACATTACTTGAGGCTCATACCATTACAAGATAGACCATCTGACTGCCCATCACCAGGTATAATAGGCAACCTAATAGAATAAATACTATCAAACAGTACTTTCTCCTTTGGTGACAAACACTACCATCAACTGACAGGCAGATCAAAAGGCACACAGGTGGCGCCATGGTATGCAAATTTATTCATGGAAAGGCTTGACGAACAAATCACTAACCAATATCCCAATGACAATACTTTCTACAGAAGATTCATTGACAGCATATTCTTCATTTTTCAAGAACCCATAGAAGTGTTAGATCAGATCTGCAACTGCATGAAAACCATCCATCCAACAATCAAATTCACTTTAAATCACTCAGCAACATCAATAAATTTTCTAGACATACTACTGTACAAAAATGAACACGGGAACATTCACACCACCATCTATCGAAAACTAACTGACACAATGGGACTACTTCACACGACTGACATCATCCCACACACACCATTCCGGGCAACATATACAGCCAAGCTCTCAGATACTGCACTATCATTACAGAACTTAACAACTTACAGAAAGAACTTAAATTCTTAACTATGACACTTGTACTAAGGGACTATCCTCTGCACATCATCAACAATAACATTAAGAAAGCGCTTCATAAAAAGCAACATGAACTTATCAACAACAGGCACGCGCAGGAAAATACAGAAAGACTAACAATAGTTACTCCATATACTCCCATTGGTCAACAAATCAACAGCATCATTCTTAACAACTGGAAGATTGACTCTAACTTACAACTACAGGACATATTTCCACACAAACCACTATCAGTACATACAAACTTAAAATCTATTAAAGACTTACTAATACACACTAAACACCAACAATAACAACTACACAAAAGAATATTAGCTTTTATTTTAACCCCTCTATCAACAACATCATCTAAATGGAAACTCAAAACTTCTTAAGAACAAAAATTCTGGTTCATCAAGACTCTACAAACTAACGCAAATTTATCATCGGCATTTTTGGCCTCGCTCTCCTCAGTCTCTTATTCAGCATAAAAGCCATTTCTAAAACCGTATGCTATTCTGTTTGAACTCTGATACAGAGCAGTGAGTTTAAAATTCAATTTATTTACATTCTTTGGATATTTAGGGGGATTAAGATTCTTATTAATCTTGACATTCCCTGTATATCTTTGTCTATTTATAATTCTAAATTTAACTTTTATAACAACGACGAGTTAATATTCATCATCAAGAACATCTTACATCTTCATCACGATTTAAACCCAAAAGATAATATTTACTTTCAAAATGGTAAGCAAACATGTTTTTGTTACTTAACTTTCTTTTATTCTATTTACAATTATATCTATAGACAAAGTATATGTACCAATATTTATTTATAAGGGGACACATCTCTATATTTTTTCTTAATTAGCTACATGCTACTAAGGTTTTAACTGTAGTAACAGTTTATAAGTATGTACCAATATGACTATCACTTTATGTTGTATGTCTATGGTACAGAATAAATGGCATAAGATATCTGTGTGAATATTTACATTGGCATTTCTAAACAGATACACAAAGACCCTGGTCAATATTGACCAAGAAAAGAACATACTAAGTCATTACCACCCCATTAAAAAATACTGGTGTTTTACAAATTTTGAGCACGTGCTCTATTTTAGCAAAGTAGTGTCTACAGGGTGTCGACCATTGGTCAGGCGCCAGACCTTCAAAACTCCCTGATGACAACTAATGGTCTTGATGAGAATGTCATCTTGACACTACATGGGTAGTTCTTGTTCTGTTCCCACAGAGTTTTTAATTGTAAATTGATATAAGTTTGCACTTTCTTTGCCTTTCACCTTCGCAATTTGACAAAAAATGCAATCACAACATGTTGTAAGCCTTGTTAATGGCTTCACAACAATGGAATCAAAACTGTAGAGTTGTATTGCCTTTAAGGCATTAGCTCCATCACCCAATTTTTTCAGGTTGCAACAGCATGTTACACAAATTGCAAATGGCACTCTTTCATCCTGAAAATTCACATCTAATGAAATCAAGCAATGAATCTCAGAAATGAAATGTTTTGAAATTTCTCTGTCACTTTTCTTCATACAAATAACACACAATATCATTCTGCAATCATCATGGTCATTGAAAAATGTAGGCATTTTATTTTTTCTAAAAATAGCTAAAAATAACAATGATTTCAATACCTATACATTATTATTTTTATTTAGTTTGTAAGTGTAATATTTTTTAGCGTGAAATAAAGAAAGAAAGTCATGTTGATATTTGTAACTTTTAATTACATTTACATATTAAATATATTAAAAATAATTATATACTGTTAAACTGTTTATAGTTTCTTGTATTTTGACCATCATAAGTTTAGTACTACATCTTTTTATTTCATTTATGTGCAAATTCTTTGTGTTGAATTAGTCTCCAAGGAAATAGTTTTTGCAATCAATTATGATTGTCTGAAGAGAGCATGACAAATAATGGTCCGGAGGGAATTACTTGTGTAGCAATTACTAATGATTATTTAAAGAGAATATTCTAAATAACTGTCCAAAGGGAATTGGTTGTGTCGCAATCATTAGAGTATGACAAAAAAACAATCTATTTTTGCTAACAAATATTTATATAGTATCAAAAAAAAAAAAAAAAAAATGCAAAGCTATATCTCCCTTGGATTTTAATACAGGATGTTAAAATTTCTTGTTATGAAGTCCCCAATATATATAGAATCAAACCTCAAAAAGGCAATATTGGGATATTTAGTCAGCAAAAAAGTCAAAATTTTCAAACCGTGAGCAATTCGGTCACGTTTAATTTTCTGCTTCAATTTTTCTTCAATATAGCTAACTACTTTACCATCAAAATTGAGTACAAGTTTTTTACCTCGTAATTCATCTTTATAGTTTTCTTGTATCTAAATACCTTTGTGTGCTATAGTTTCATAGCTCTTCTGTCTTACAGTCTATTTAATTTTATTTCTACTCCTAAGTTATTCATTACACAGGCAATAAACATTGTTTGATCTCTGTAACTGATTCGTTTTCTTACACTTTAAGGTGTATCTCTCAAATACATAGGCAATGCGTCAATTTTTTTTTTAAAAAAAACACAAATAAAAACTTATTGTTTATAACTGTAAATAATTCAAAATTATTATTATTTTCATACTTTGAAAAGGGAAAGGCAACATTTTAAGGCTTTAGTTGTTTAAATAAAATTAAATTAAAAAATCAAAATAATAATTAAAAACATTAAAATAATAAATAAAATACCTTTTGCACTTTTATAGAAGGGAACATATTTTGAAATACTGTTGTCATTAATTTCATTTCTACTGCTTCTGTTGCAAAGTTATTCATAACCACCTGAAAATTTAAATAATTTAAAAACTTTAATTCATCTCTTTGATATTAATTTCTTTTTTAGCATTTTTTAATTTTCATAGACGTATAATTTAAGATATATTTCTGTTTTATTCTAAGTAATTAAGTTTTACTTTTATGATTTCAAAAGCTTAAAAATCCTGTAAGAAACTTGACACTGCTTTGCGCTGCAAAGTTTTCTTTTACATTCCTAAAAGTGTAGGGTTCAAATAAGCTCAGAAATTATGCTTAAGACTTGAGTGTGCCTAGTACTTAATATTGCTGACTTGAGTGTGCCTCAAGGTTGTAGAAACTTCATATTTCAAGCTGAATTAACACCTAGACTAAACAATATAGTTTTAAGCTTGTTTTATTAATTTTATTTTTTTATTATTCTCTCTTTTCTTTTCCATTTGTGTTACAATATTTTCTTTTTAAGTTAATATTATTTTTCAGGGCTCGAATTAAGCGTATTGCGATTGCGAATTATGATTGCTTTCACACCTTTATGAATAATTTTTTTTAAAAAAATTCTGCGATTTGTTTTTTTGTTTGTATATTTTTTTGTTTATTCTTTTTTTTCTTTCCAATTTAGCAATTTTTTTTGGCCATTCTTAAAAGTAATGCTTTTGCTCAGGTTTTTTTGTTGGGGGTCACGTTTTTTACGTCAGGCTAAATTTATCTTTTGAATAGAAGATATTGATCATTTGCACTTTTGCGCAGAGATTTTTGTTCATCAATAAAGTGCTTTTAATTTAAATTACTTTGAATCTCTGCATGGAAGCCAATAATATTTTAAAGTTATATTTAGTTTGATTTACTGAATGGATGAAGTACATCACAGTAAATTTATCTATAAACTAAATCAAAACAACCAGTTAATTTACTACAGTAATTTACTTAACAGTTACTCTGTACTTAACAGTAAAAGTTATTCAACTATTAAATTTACTTTAAAAATAGACAAAATTTACTTAATATACTCATAGACTTGCAAAAGTTAGCCATACAAATGTTTCTATTTATATCTTATATGTTGTTAACACATAACATAAGCTTCTAATTAAAAATCATTTTAACAAGAAATCTTGAATAGAATATGAAAAACGCAATACCATTTTTTATATTTTCATTTTATATAAAGCTATATCAAGATTAAACATTTTCTATAAATACACAAGTTGTTTTAGGTTTCTTTTTAAAAAGAAATCTATTGGAACAAAGGAGTTTTATTTTTTTAAAATTCTCTTAGGGTTTGCCCATAAATTACGCAATGCTAAATTTATTTAAAAAACAGAAGTAGGAGATCTTTACGCAGCGATTTTCATTAAACTTAATTGGTTATTTTTATTTTTTATTTAAATTAAGGCCCTGCACAAGGAAACTTGATCTTCTTCGTTTTGTTTATTAGAGAAATTTAGATTTGCGTAATTTATGGACAATTCCTTGTTCAAATAATTTTGCAAATCAAATTTTCGAATGAAGTTTAAAATTAAAAAAAAAATTTGAGAAATTTAAAAGAATTGTAACGCTTAATAATTATAAATTAATTGCAGCGGCATTTGTAATATCCAGCAGCAAAGCTAGGATAATTCCTGAAAGTTAAATGTAGATCTAGCTACAGTAACAATATCGGATTTAGAATATAGTGCAAGTGAGGAAGAAAGTTTTATTTGAATCGTAAATATTGTGAATAGTTAATTAATTTTTTTTTCATGAAAATAGTTTTAAAAGTAGAAACATTTTATTGCCAACATTAAACCAGTGATTATTGAAAACATTAAACCAAAAATTAAACTATAAAAAACTTAAATTAAAAAATAATAATTTATTTTACTTTTGTTCAAAAAAATTTTTTTAAAAATAATTTAAGCATTTTCTTAAACTTAAACAAATATAGTTCGATTTATTTGACCAAATTTATATTCACTATTTTCATGAAACAAATATTAATTAACTATTCAAAAAACATGGTATCTAAAGAATTTTTGCTTTTCTTACTCGTTTGGTCAATAGATTATATTATCCTATAGATGTTTGGCCTATAGATTATATCAGCCTATAGACCCGTTTAGTCTATAGATTATAACGGCCTATAGACATCGCATGGTCTATAGGCATGTTTTTGCGCAAATATGAAGTTTTATGATATTTTAATTTATAAATTAGAACAATTCTGTTTTTTTTGCTCCATTTTATTTTAAACGCGTTTTATATTATTTGTGTTATAAACTGTATAAAAAAGCAATAAAACAGCGTCATGAAGTTGTTTTACATAAACATTAAGACAAGCTATTTATATTGTCAAAGCAACTTTGCGGTTTGTTTTATTGTTGTTTTATAGCTTTCAACAATTAAAATTCAATACTCTTTAAAACTAACATGTGTTTTATTGTTATTAAATAGTTTTCAAGAGCTAATTAAAGTGGACATATTTGCGTTTTTACTTTTTTATTTTTATTTTATGTATCATGTTAAGTAAAAACAAATACTAAAAAAAATATTGTAATAGTATCAAATACGTTACTAGCTCATTACATTATAACTTGTTCATTACACTATAAACTTTAAATTATAACTTAAGCTGTAAATTATAACAGCTATTTCAAGCTCCACCAAACATGAAAATTATAAGATAATATGAGAGATATTATGTTAAAAAATTACAATTACTGACTAATGTAAAAAAAAAAATTAAATTTTTTTTTCTTTCTTTTGCGATTAGATTTTTTTACGACAATCTGAGCCCTTTTTTTTTATATATTTTTTACATATTATATATTTTATATTGTATTATTTAACATGAAATTTCATAGATATAAATAAATATACATCAATTGATTGCATAGTTAAAATTTTAACTAATAAAAAATCCAGTAGGTCATTTAACTCTAATGCTAATGTTCACACATGCACAGGCTGGACATCTATTAAACTAAGAATATCAACAATTATTTGATCAAAAAACTGTTCAAATTTTTTAAATTATCTTTATGAAAAATATCATTTAAAATTCGTTGTTTGGCAATATATTAAGCTAAGCATATATATGTTAAGTTGAAGTTGTAGCAATAGAGTAAAGAGTATTAAATCAAGAAGGTAAAAAACAGAAATATTAGATTGAAAATCCATTGTTTTCATACTATATGATTTTAAAGCAGGTTAAGTTCAAAAATCAATTGTTGGAATTGTTATAAAACATTATAAAAAGGAAACTGTAAACAAAAAATTTGTAAAGGAAAAAGAACTTTTAAAACAGAACTGCTGTAATTCTTGAACAAACATTTTTTGCATATACATTTCAGCTTACATTCTTGTAGTTATGGTATGCTATCTAGTGTTGTTAACATACTTTCTCCACTAATATTATTCTATTAAAATGGAAAATCTAGGGTAGGAAATGTCTGCTTGCTTACCTTTGATATGTAAAAAGCAATTTTGAACTAATTGCTAGCTAAACAGACAAGAACATGCTAATTTTTTTTATTTTTAAAACAGGTCTAGAAATTTGAAAACTTCATGTGAATGCAGCATGGAAAATAAGGAATTCAAGGCAAGCGGTCAATTCGGAATTGAAGATCAATCGTTTTTTTTTAGATGGTTTTGCTTTTCTTTTTTTTTAATTGCTTGTTGTTTTTTTTAATTTTTTTTTGTTTAAATTTTTATCTTATAGCTTTTGATGACTAAATTTTATAAATACAAAAATAAGTTAATGCTTGAAAATTAATGAATTCGTATGATTTTAATAACAGTTTTAAATAAAATCAATGCTTTTTTTTAAAGTGCAAAAGAGCAATTGATAATTTTTAATTTATTTAAGAATAATTCATTTCACTGCAATGACTTCGCAAATAAAAGGAAAAGCTAAAAATATATTAATATAATTGAAAAAAAAAAAGTACAATTGAGAAAAAAGTACTATTACCCATTTTCACTTTTAAAAAAAGCATTGATTTTATTTAAAATTATTATTATTAAAATAATATGAATTTGTTAATTTTCAATCATTAACTTATTTTTGCATTTATGTTCTTAATATATACAACAATTTCTAATAATAATAAAATAATAATTTCAACCACTGAAGTTAAAGAAGAAAAACTACAACACACTTTATAACTCTCATTTGCAGATACTATTTCTACCACAGATACTAAATTGAATGTTTAATATTAAGAAGAGATTGTTTTATGAAACACTACTATATGTACTATACTATAATGATACACTAAATGTCTTTATTAAAATAATAAAATAAGAGCTTCAATCATTTATGAAAAAAGCATTTTCATCACCATTAAAATGAAATATAAATAGTTGAATTTTTAACATTATTACCAAAACATTAAAACAAACCAACATAAAAAAAAAAAAAGATTCTTTATCACTAAGTTTTGTTAACTTCTGTCTTACTGTTTAGAAATAACCTTTGTACTGATATAAACTTTTATTGACTAAACATATCTTTTTTATATCTTTAAATATACCAAACTTTTTTTTTATATCATCATACATATCTCACTATACTTTACTTCAGTTGTCAGTATATTTTACCTCTAGGTCTCCCTACATTATACAACTAGGTCTTATTAACCCTCGTAATATACCTCTATTTTACGCCTAAATCCATGATATATTCATGGGTCTATTCATGGGTGTGATATATATCATGATATATATCACACCCATGATAAACCTATAATTTCTAAATATTTCAATACTTCTTAATAAATTAATATAAAAAAATATGAAATGCTAAAACAAAATAAAGTAGTTAAAAAAACCAGTACCAATGGAGGAAACTTGAACTGTTGCCCAATAGTTTTTGGTCGGCGTAAAATCGATGTAATATCTTTCATAAGAGAATACTAAAATCATGATGAAAGAAATAAAAAAGGATATGCTTTTTTAATAATTATTGAATCAATAAATTTGATTTTAAATGAATAAAAAAAAAAAATTTAAAAAAATCAAAAAATGAAATTTAAAGATAAAAACTTTTTTTTCTAAAGAAATTTCAAACCTCATTAATTCTAAAAGTAAGCGTTGGTCCTCTAGGCAAACGAACAATTTTCTAAAAAAAAAAAACCCTTTAATAAACAAAATTAAAATTAATATAGAATATTGTTAGCAATAGAAAGTTACAAGCGAATTAGTAAATAGCAAATGACTAAGTGGTATCTTAATTTAATTGGTTGTGAATAATTGTATATAAATAAAAAAATATAATTGTAAATATCTAGGGAATTTAGTTTGTATATAAATTATTTTGAATTTCACAAAGAGATATCTATGTTTTGCGCATAATTGACAATAGTTTTTTTTTATGTGAAACTACAAAAACTTATATTAAAAAACTAATATAAAGATTTAGTAACTTGTAATAATCTTACCATATATGGTGATTTTTCAGTTTTTGAGAATATTATAAAATGCGAGATTCCATAGGGACCAGCAATATGAACAAAATCTTTCAAAACATTGCTTTTAGTAACCTTAAAACAAAAAAAATATTTTCAAAAAAACAAGAAGTTTATGTTGTTGTTATTTTTTAATTGTTTTAAAGACCTAAATAAATTTTTTTAAAAACTTTTTTCTATTATTATTTGATAGACTACTTGCCCCAACCACACCCTCAGTCAATGTAACTGCACTTCCTTATAGCAGCAGGCTAAAAGATAGTTGATGTAACAACAATCCACGCATAATTTACAGTAAAAAAATAATAAAAACATTCAAAATATTTTTATTTAAAAAAATAATAAAATAAAAACATTATATATATATATATATATATATATATATATATATATATATATATATATATATATATATATATATATATATATATATATACAAACACACACATACAGAGAGCTGAGTTGTTTTTTTTTAAAAAGAGAAAACGCAGGGGTTCGCAGTGATGTATCCCAAAATTTTTTGGTCATACTGGTCTAAATATCCTGACTACATTTGGAGGACCTTTTTTTTTTCAAAAGACAAATTTAAACATGTATAATATATAATTATAATATTTTGCCTTAATATCTAGTAACTAAATGAATTTTATTAAACTGTATAAATTAAACTATAAAATTTTTAAATAAAAATATAAATGATTAACAAAAATAGTCATTAATGTTACATTGACGACTTTAAGGTGGTAGACCACTATCAAAAATAAAAAATCATTTTTTCAATTTTTTTAAGTAATATAGTTAATATAGCTATGATAAATTACACATTTTAAGTTTTATGAAAAAAAAAAAATAGCTAACACTAATCTTTCAACTAAATTTTTTTTTTTTTAAAGAGGTATAAGCAACTTTTTTTATTTTTCCGTAGCAACGCTTTGTTTATTATGTTGTAATACAGCTAAAAAGGAAATTATATTATTATTCAGGCCTCGGAATTAAGGTCAGCGTTCAGCAATGCCAATCTGACTGCCAACCTAGAAATGTTAAAGGTCAGAAAAAAATTGCCAACCTCATTTCTGTTTTATGGTTAAACCTTTGTAACAAATCTTTTTCGCTGACCTGATGCCAACCTTTAACAGATTGAGGTCAGCAAATTAATGCCAAAAATATAGTATATTTATTTTTTATATTAAAATATAAGATGAGATGATTGCGACTCTGAAACTACTTTTTGTTAATTGATTAATACTTTTGGTTCATTTGGCTACATGGGTTTTATTGAATTTTCAAACTATAGTTGATGTTTTCTGTGTCATTCATTTGTCACACATTTGTCATATCACTTTAATTAAATAATATTAGTAAAGGAAAGTAATGGGAAAAAAAAATAAAAGTAATAAAAACTTATAATCTTCAAAGTAAACCAAAATCAATCAACAAACAATGCAGCTGAAGAAAATGTAACTAATTTGTATAAACTAAAATTTGAATGTCGCACAGCCAAAAACAAATAGACATATGTACATTAGGGTTTCCCCCCCCCCTCTCAAAAAAAAAAAAGACTATAACCTCAAATGTTTAGGATTTGGTCTGTAGAAAAAGAAAATACCCATAAATTATAGTTCATCTAGTCGACAATTATAAGATTTATATTTTGAAAATTTGGATATAAAATTTTTTCCCATTATTTTGTTACTTTCGCTTTTGCAATAATTGTTATGAAAAAGTGTTGTTAAAATCATACAGAAAGATTTATTAGATAAGCTTAAGAATCTTTATAAACTTTTCTAATCGATTTACTTGTTAAATAATTTTAACTGTGCAGAAGTGTTCACAATCTTAGTTTTTATTTGTTTAAAGCAAGGTACAAAAAGAAAATACAACTGCTCTATAATATTATCTATAAACAAATTGCCAACAAACCAACTGCCTTCTGTGGGAAATGTGTTGAGATATTAGCTATTTTTAAACTCTGAAAAAAGTTACAGATTCAGGCCGTTAAAGTTTCACATTGTGTGTCCACAAAAACGTCTTGGATTTGAACTTGTGTGTTTTAAAGGAGTTTGTGTTAATCATTTTGGGATCAATTGTGTTGTTGCCTAAGTTACTTCTGTAGGGATCAAAGCAGGTTTTGGAGATTATATTCAGAAAGGAGCTCAAGTAAGGTAAAACTTAACCTCCCTTTAATATGATTGTTATGCAGGCATCACATATATGAGCTGCATATGTCTTACTACATAGAAGTACTCCCAGGAAAGACTAAAGGTCCCCATAGAGCATTATATTTTAAGTTAAAAATAATTGGAATGAAGTTTGTACAGAAGTGAACACTCTAAATAATATTGTAAAAATGAGTTGGGATAACCTAGAAGTTGATTGAGTGTTGTACACCCTTGCAAAAGATGCATTTATATTGTGTTCAAAATCTCTGCTTAAAAATACTTTTGTAAGAAGTGATTATAGAAACCTTTGCCAGCTTGTTGTTTTTTATCTAGGTGGAAATGTAACTAATTTTAAATTCTATCAACCTGGCACTTGTCATGAGGCACATTTTATGGCAAATAGACTTTACCTCCTTACATTAAAAATGAAAAAAAATGATAAAAAATAATGACAGAAAAAAAATGAGATACAGAAAGGAAGTTTTTTTACCGCCATTCTTTATGCACCATGATTTTTAAAAAGTTCTCAGTCTTCAAAAGCATCCAAGAATGACCTTGATGCTTTCAGGGCAAGTCTTAACATACAAGAGCAATACGATGACCAATTAGGAAAGTTTTTAACAAAGAGTATAAAATGACACTCTTGGTGCTTGTTGTGTTAAAAATATCTGCTAACATCTATTGTATCTTTTTAAAATTATTGAAATTTCAAAATGCGAAGTTGAAAAATGGGTTTACGGTGGAGTAAAATCTTAGGATAATACTGAAATTTTCCTAAGTTCTGTTTATTTGTAAAATATCTCTCTACTATTAACGATTGGGCAGAAAGAAACATCAAGCTTATACAAGACTTTGTGAAGGCATCTACAAATGATAATCAAATGCAAAATATAATGCTTGTTGCAAAAAATCATAGAAAAAAATTACAAGCCAAAATGCCAAAAGATCAACTCACAAGAGCATATACTTTATAACTGTTTTCCTATGCGTTTATTTTAATAAAAAAAGATTTTTAACATTTTTTCTCTCTGTAACGGTTGTTTATTTCATTATTTAATTTTGCAAAATAAACTTGTAAGTTGCGGTTTTTTATATTTATTAAAGGAAAATTGTCTCAGTAATATGCGCATAAAATCGTAAAAAAATATAAATTTCACTGAATTTATAATTACACATCTAGCAAAGTTGCAAATTTTGGATCAAAATTTTTTTTATATTCTATCTTTATAGACCAAATCACAGTTTGGAGGGTATAGTCTCTTGGTTTTCAAATTTTCATTACTTTTTGGGACACACTAATGACATACAGTTCCAGCAGTGAATCTTTTGTAAAAATTGTAAATAATGGTTTTATAAATAAAAATAACAGTTCTGCTAATTATGATCTTGTTAATGTTTATTTAATCTTACTGTTAATTCGATGTTGTTAATTCAAAATGTTGTTAATTACATGTTCCTGCTACATATGACTGCTACATATTGATGAACACCAACATAAGAGATGAAATAACATCTGCCATTGTTTGCTGTCGAAAATTTTCAACAAATATAACTTTTAAATTATAACTTTTTATGATGCTCAAAAATCATAAAAAAAGTCTCCTAATTTCATTTGCATCTTGCCACTGTAGAGGTTTTGTTCTACTAAAACTATGAGCAAACCAGCAGCAACCTTTGATGTTTATTTATTTGCAATATTAGTTTAAAGAAATACTATAGTATAGAAAGGTTTTGTGGTTTTATGAACTTGTCTGATCCTATAAAGAAATTTTCAAACTTGTTGAACAAAGAAATTATAACAGTTACATAGCTAAAGGTAACAGAATTGTGGCAGCATAGAAGTTCTGAAAATAAGTTTATTTTCTGAAAATAAAATTATTATGAGAAAAGAGGATTATTGAGGACATCTTTTATGGTGCATAATAATTTTAGTTTATATATACTTGATACTTATTTACTAGTAACAACTATTGACATAAAACTAATAGGAGTTTTTAATTGAAACTAGGGCTGTACCGAATTTTGGCTCCAGCTATTTTTACAAATCTGGCCCAAATCCGGCTCCGGTAAAAATGTAGCAAATCCGGCTAAATTTTAGCCAGATTTCGGAACTTTGGTCAGATATTTATTACACCTTTTTTTGCCCGTGTTGACATGAATACTTAAATGTTTATTTAGACAAATCAATGTTCTTTAAAATTCTATAACTAATGAACTCCATTTTAGCATTGGATTTGTATTTCTTTACAATTAAACTAACTAAGCCTAATTTCAAAGAACAACTCAACAAAAAATTCTGAAAAGAAGACATGGTATTCTATAATGAAGACACAAGAAAGAGTCTGAAGTGAAAACACAAACATGGATAAATATATATTATAATTTGCGGCATGTCTTAAGTGAGGTCAATATGTATTATAAATTTGAATAAAATAGAACAATAAAAATAAAATAATACAATATATTATAAATGTGAATAACATTTATAATAAAAATATAGTTCAATTTTTACTATTATAAAATGTATTATTTTTAATAAAATTAAATGTATATTATAATGTATATTATATATGTATATTACATGCAATCTAAGAAACTACTTTATTTTAAGTTTATCATTTAATTTAATTATTTAAAGCAACTTTAATTTTCACACAAACGTTTTCACTCAGAAGTCACCAATTGCGTTTATTGCAACAATTAAAATTAATGACTTCTGAGCGAAAAAAATTTGCGCAAAAAATCCTGTTGTTCTCAACTTAAACTTTAAGTTAAAGTTTAAAAAACGTGTTGTCTTGTAAAACGTAAAAGGTAAAAGTTGGCTTCATTGGTAAAATTATTAGTTGAAACATTTCTGAAAAATTTAAATTTGTAAGAATATACTTATTTAAAAAATAAAATTATTTATTGTATTTA